AAGATCCCGCTTTTCCTTGCTCCCGAGCACCGGGATCTTAGGCGGAGACTACTGTATCTGGTTAACCAAAACAATTTTAACTCTTTAAACCCCATCGGACACTGGTAGCGTCCGGCGGTAATAATTCTGGGAGTGTCCGATACCAGTGACAACTGTTTTGTTGTATTTAGTGCTTAGATTTTGCTTGTTTTTTTTAAACTATTCCCAAACTAAGTTTATTAGTAATGACTAAGCCTTTGTTTCTGCCATTTAAAAGTGAGAGGCAAGCTCTTGGGGATTATAATGAGACATAGTGCGCCAGGTTTGGGTGACCGTTGAAAAAAACTCTGGGAAGCGGTGGAAATGACTCAGGGTCTAAAGAATTTATGAATGAAAACTATGATATTTGGCATACAAATATGGAACATTTTCCATTATACTTGAAATGGCATCAAGAATGTAAATGGTTGAGTTGTGGTAGATGTGTTGTATAATTCAGACAAAAAAATAAAGAGGTAGAGAGTAGAAATTATTTTTTTTTGAATGACTGTCTTTTTCCCAAATCTTGTGTTTTATAATTGATTATTAACCCTTTCGTGCCGGGATGTATGCGTTTCTACTGTCAGGATGATTTTCAACTGAGCTCGTTTCTCAGGACAGCAGCCTACTGTCTCAGTGTTAATAGACACGCAGTCTAGATCTAGAACCAGCACACTGGTGACACATTTCGGACACAAATCTTCAATTTTCTCACTTTTCTTGTTCCCATCCCCCCCAATCTTACTCATAATTTTGAATAACCTGCAAATCTGAAGTCAAAAAGTGAATTTTAAGTCATTTCGATGTTTATGTTTTATGAGAACACGCAGCTGCCCGCAAGCCTAGATCTGTGTTTATCGATCGCTTGCAAGCCTAGCAGTAAAGTAATACTGGCAAATTTTGTACCAATATGCGCGTCTTTCATTCCCGAATACAAAGCTACGCAGGGTTTGTGCCTGAAACTCTGTACAGAAGAATTAGAGCTGGGTTATTATTACGTACAGGTAACGTCATATTGGCAACCAGGAGCGGCAAATTTTGCCAACTTCCTTGACGTATATGGTATGGTACAGCGCTAAAAATTACGCATTTTCATGAGGTACCAGGTACATCATAAGGCAACAAATTCTTTTATTAAGAAAAACTCATACACAGTTTTGATTGGGATGCGATATGAATTATATTACAGCATTATCATATTTAATTATCAAAACAGATGTATCAACTTGAAGACACTATTTGGGTCTCAAATACTCCTTGTAATGCTGATCTCAAAATGATGCTGCAAACAAAGAATATTGTATAGACTTTTCATAACCATTTGTGAAGCATGCTAACCAAATGAGTTGCTTCTCAGATTCAAGCTTTAACTTTAAGGAAATAGATACATGAGGACCACGTTCATTGGTGAAATTTTTACAATTTATAAGTATGAAATAATAGAAGACAAGTTATAGTTAAAGATTATGGCATCAATAGAAAATCTACAAATTGGACTGTAATATTGATTTTTGGCCAATATCTCATTTTGTGGATTGTGAGAAGTAACTCATTTTGTCAGCACGCCTCTCATTTATTTATATGTTTATTATTAATCTCTGACTAGTTTTACGATCCACAACAAACGTGGGCATTGACGTCAATTGTAGGTGATCCAAGTTTCTTTTGTGGAATCAGTTTGAGAAAAGACCATTCTTGTGAAACTGCATTCCAGAGATACATGTACAAAGAAGGTTAAAACTGGAACTTTTGACATGTACCTTGAGATCATCATTTCTCTTTAGTTATCATTTCTATTTTACCCTGTGTTCCATTTAGACCCTGCAGTCAGAGTGGAAGAGATATGCACAGCAGTCAAAGCAACTCTCAGAGGACATTTCAACCAAGCTCACAAAGGACACTGTTGAGATTGAAGGTCAGATTCAAGAGCATCAAGCCATGGATGAAGAGAATCTCTCACAACTGGATCGTGATGTGACTGAAGGAAAGCAGATTGTAGAGAATTTCGTGCAGGAAGAAGTGGCAAAGGATGTACCAACAGGTCAGTCATTGAGCGGTGTTGAAATGAGTTGGACTTAGAGCTTTGTGAAACACTATCCTCTTTTTTAAATGACTGCGTGATTTTTTTTTGGGGGGGGGGGGGGGGGGGGGGGCGTAGGATTGTAATACCCCAGATTCTGATTTTAAAAAAAAAAAAGTTTGGCTACCCCAACCCACTGCCAGCCTTCCTGGTGTATATGGGGAGAAAAATAGGAAAACTATCAGACCTGGACTGTCTACTTCACTACGTCACGTGCACTAAACATTCTCTTTACATTGAGCCTTGGTAGTTGCTCAGTACCGCCCTTGCTCTTGAACAAACATTAGACTTTAGAAGTGCCAAAACCAGTAGTTAGGCAAACATTGGATTGACATGTTAGGAAATTCCTACCCTTTTGTATCATCACATTACATTTATAGTATACTCATATATTATACTGGACTACAACCCCTGTCCTAGACACCCCACCACAGAAGATTTTCCGTGGCCATGTTACGAATTTTTAAGCCAGTTCATTAATTTTCTATCTGTTGATTGCTAAAACATATGCTGGTGGGTGGGCAGCCCTGAATATGTGAGCGAGGGGGAAAGAGAAGGAAAGGAAGGGAGAATGAGAAAGAGACACTCAAAGAGAGAAAGGAGGGAGGAGGATTGTCTGTGATAGTTGAACTGAGCACCATAATATAAAGTTCTTAATTTGTATCTTGACTGTGCTAACATGATGGCCTCCTTTTTTTTTCTTTAGAGTCTAGTCATCTTTTCTTTTTTTTTCAGGGGATTTTCCATATTTTTATATCTTCATTGATCTGTGACATGGAATAATGTCTGGAATGCTCTATCATTGATAAATCTTTGTTTCTCTCCTTACCCTAGGTCACACACCTCAGAGATACGAGTTTAGATATCCACGAAACTTGACCAAGACCGACGACCATAACAGACTTCTTCAGCAATTCAGAGAAACACGAAGAGAGTCTGATCCTATCGTGATGAATTTGTCATCGCAGCTTGAAGAGACTGGAAGTGACACGCAATCTCCTGCGGCATCTGTCGAGGTAAAGTGTGCCTTGAGAAGCTCCTTGTTCATTGTTCACTGTCAACCCTTTTGAAAATAGTTGTAATACTTACTTTCATATTTGCTTTTGATCGAAAGGGAGATGTTTATGTTTAACACATTACACCCGGGACCGCCCGCGAATTCCCTTACGCGCTCCACCCTGACTCGCCCGTAACTGCCTGCCGCGACCTAGCATCTTTAGAAACGAAGTCTCGCCTTGACGAGACTCTGGGGCCGAGATTTTGATTTGCATAGTTATTGCACAAAGTTTTTTCTTTCGTTTGATACCGAAACGAAATTTTTCGGGCCAGTAGTTTTAGTATTAGAGCTGATCGAAGTGCGATCACGTTACCAACACTTCGAAAGTGTCTCGACTTGTTGAAAAGCGACACAGTTGAGTTCGAAAATGGAAATAACGATGGATTTGAGCAAAAACAAGCATATGACAAATCAGATGGCTCAGATTTTGATGAAAACGTTGTAGCAAGAGTTTGGCGCGATTCGGATTGATCAGGCGTAGAAAATCTGGAATTTAGATCTAGGGCCCAATCGCGAGGCTGAGAGTGAGAGTGACGGGTCAGACATTTCCAATAGTTTGCGCAAACATAAAGTTATATTTTTCTGAAACTACATTCAGTTTTCTTTTTAAGTTTTATTTTTTCAGGATTTTTGGAATTTGTGTAGTATTTTTAACCCTAACTCTGGCAAGGGCCGATTAGATCGGCCCATTTCCTGCCATGAAACTGGCAGGGCCGATCTCATAGGACCATGTAGTAAACTGCTGCTTCTGCCTTCCAACTAAATATTTGGGGCTTCCAAAAGTGATTTCTGATTGGCTAAAAGGCTAACCTCCAACCAATCAGAATATTTCTACCATTCTGGCTTTGGAGAAGAGTATTTTGCTTTCCAAACAGAGGGATGTTTTGAAAGCTTGTTGATCAGGCCACAAGCCACTAATGCCAATGTAGATCTATCACTTGTGTGGGTCTAAAATGGCCAAAAATCGATCTTTTTTGGATACATTTGAAAGTGAATTGACTAGAGAAAGTAATTCAGACACTGTTAGTGGTGGATTTATTGGTGTTCAGTCAAGATTGGGATTAGATCTGACAGACAATGGGGATAATGTACCAGTTCTCATCCTGCCCCAACTTCTCTTTCAAATGGAACACTAGATTCTACTACTTAGGGAGTCTAATAGGGGCAGAAAAAGGAGAGCTATAGAGTAAAGTAGGTTCCTTTTGCTATACTAATTATTACAGACTACCAGCAGATTGCTGAAAACCACATGGTTGTACTTAGACTTAAAGTGTTTTTATGTTGAGTTTGGTATGAAATTAGCGAGTATCAGCTGCGCTCGAAACAGACCACAAGACAAATTGAAACAGTCATAACTCATTACCTGTTCTTCTCAAACCTATAAAACTATACATTTTCTGAAAGGTAATTGAAAAACCCATATTTCTGCTATCTCACATTTTTTATAACAAGAAATACATTAGATTGGTGAATATGCTAATGAGCATGTAAATTTTTTATGTCAGCCATCTTGGATTTCAAAGTTACATAACCCCTTGAAAATAAAATAAAATCATATGTTCAATGGCAAAATATAAAAGTTCATTCAATTATCTTTCAGAAAATATATACTTTTGTAGGGTTTTTATTTGATGCAAGTCCATAAATTTGATTTGTAAAGCATGTGCACGTTTTGGCTGATTAGCCCTGCCATTCCTGTTGAAACCACTTGCCAGAGTTAGGGTTAAAATGTGTTTTTTAAACGCTTGTATTCACGGGAGGTGGGTTCCTTCCCCTTGCTTAGGATCTAACAATGGACTTCCCGTCCAGGCCCTTAGGGTATAATGTGTTAAAAAGTTTCATGGTGTTTTTTGCCTTCACAATTGAAAATAATGTTGAGAAGTGATAGCTGATTTCCTTGTCTGTTAGTTCTGTCACAGTGATTTTTCCCCTGTTGAAATAATGCACTTTGTTCTTCTAAAAGGATGATGCTCCACCCATGTTACTGAAATGTTTTTCTGAACTCCCTCGGTTTCGATGCTTTTTGAGGCTTTTTAAAAATTGGGTGCATTACAATACAATGTTTATTTGCCCCGGTTATATCTTGAGCTGAAGTACAACATATGGTCACTCGTGTGACTGTATTTTCTCCAGACCTATTATGTAAATTTATAAAAAATATTTTTGTGAAAGAGATGGTAAAGGAACATGTGATTTTTGTTAGACTGCTGAGTGCCTATCCTATAGACCTATCTAGATCAATTTCAAGGACAGTGAACTTGAGAGAGTAAAACTTTTGGGTTTTTTAAAATCTGGCTCAGTACACTCATTTGTACATAATTACATAATTTTAATTATTAATAATGTACAGAAAAGCAACAAAATTCAAATAATATCGACCATTAAACAATCTGTATCAACCTTCATTAATTACATTTATCATTATGTCCTTGTCTGTTTCAGGACATTCGTGGAAGTCAGAGCAACCTCAGCGAGGCGGGCACAGAGGTCTCTGTGAAATCCATGGCAAGCACATCTGGAGTTTCCACCACCAGTCACAGGAGCAAGGTCTGTAGTGTTATTGTGTTCTCCCAGGTTGGGGGGGGGGGGATGTCCTTCTATAATTATCAAGTGCTGTCTGCTCATACAGCCTGACTTTCCTAGCAGTACTGGCAGGTGAATATTTGCTCTGAAATTTTACTTCCTTTTTTATGCCTAAGTGAGAACCAGCCATGACCAAAAGCAGTGTATATGGTGATGTCAGGGGTACCTGGTTTGGGTTGTTGTTGTTTTTTGTGTGTGTGTTTTCTTCTTCTTCTTTCCCCTCGTTTAATTTGAACATTTTTGCTTTGCCCTCGGATTCAATGGACACTTAAGGGGATCCACTGGTCAGATCAGTAAAAATTTTGAAAAAATATCAGTTTTCGGATTTTGGAGTATCTTAATAGATATCAATATCAAGGATTCATCTTTAGAAGCCTAATTCCTTTATCAAACTTATAAATAGCTGGAAATGCATTTAAGAGAGGCAGCAATGTAGGAAAATCTTCAACAAAAAATTATCTCTCTTTGCAGTTTTCTCAGAATTGTTTATCTGACCAGGTTGCAAAACTATTTTGAGTAGATCTCAGAAAGTTACTGTCAGAATTGTTTCACATTTGGACACAATCTTTTATACACATTTCTCTATAACTTTACAGGAGCATTTTTCTTTTTATGGTACACCTTTGAGTTTTAGGCCTTTTTTATTTTACAAAATCTTAAAACATTGGAGACCTGAATGTAGTGCATAACAAGGACTGTAAAGCTCACAAGTTAGTACAGAAAATTCAAATTTGGCCCTGTAAGGTTGTTCTACCTACCAACAGTAATCGCCATGCCAAATATTAGGCTTCTATCTTGATGAGTGTTGATGATTGACAAAATATAAAATTGGTTTTAAAAATGCTGAATCAATCCTTTATTTTTGATGGCTCGAGATTATTATGGCTAAAATCTTGAATTTTTTGCTTGGTAACCTTTTTTTGTACTATGTCACCCCCTTTGATGCAGAAAAGCAAGCGTTAGACCAAAAACTACAGCATTTGGGTGTTGACCATAGCTACACCCCCTTAAATCAGCGAGCTCGGATTCAACGAGGTCGCTTCCAGGGTGAACAGCCCCCGCAGACCTGGCTTCGCTCATTTTTCTCCCAGAACGAACTTTATCTATTCCCGGAAACCATCCATTGCACCTGCATTGAGAACCATTATTCACTTAGCCGATTGCATGCGACCAATCAGCAGGCATGTGTCGGGGTCGTATGGGCGGCCTGCACACATGTGGCTGTGTGTGTGTTGGGTGTAGGGGGGGGGGGGGGCACTAGCAGTCCGGGCATTGAACGTGGCAGAAACAAAAGCGTCACAGTCTTTTTTTTCTCCTCGGCAACTGATGATTATTACAATGATAATCTAGTCTTGACGTAGATCTACGTAATGAATTGTGCGCTGGTCTATGGAATAAACAAAAGCTGCCGTATGCTAGGCTCTACACAGCAACACAACTTTTGGTAAACAATTGAGATGAAACAGGTGTGCGCATTTGAACGATTCTGTCTTTTTTTTACACAGCTCATAATATGCAGGCATTTCATCCACTACTTGTGACTTCTCTTTATACATTACTTGCTCAGTGCCTGTAATTATCTACTCAAAACTTCGTGTTTACTATAACGAACACTTGGATTCAACGAGATTTTAGGTCAGGCCCGGCGACCTCATTGAATAATAATAATAAAAATAGATAGCATTTGTATAGCGCATATCCCCGCTCATCAGCAAGCTCTATGCGCTTTACACTATATTATTACCCGAGCAGACCATAGAACACTCCGAAACATTCTCAGCTTCCTGGGAAGCATACAGTGCAAGCAGCCGATTAAGCACTCAAACACTTACAAACTGACAAGATCTTTCGCTGTCTATAGCCGGGTACCCATTCCCACCTGGGTGAAGTGAGGAAAATTTGTGTAAAGTGCCTTTCCCAAGGACACAACGTCAGGCCCCTGACGAGATTCGAACCCTCGACCTTACGGTTGCGAGTCCGATAGCCTAACCACTATGCCACTGTATACAGCGAGCTAATTCAGCTGGCATTCAACATAACTCAGTTGTTTACAGTCAACAAAAAATCTACGAAAGCCCAGCAAATCCATCTCATTTAAAATCAGACTATGCTTATTGCCTGGAGCATATTCAAATAGGTTAAATAGGAGGGTGGTAGTTATTAGTAATACGGAAGTCTGTGGAGTTAAAAAATTGAATGGCAAAATTTAGTTTGCATACAAGTGTGAACTAGTCTTCCATTTACTAAGAGTTAGTCCCTGAAAAATAGGTTTGATAAACCATGTTTTAAATAAGCTTGACTATCTGTTTAGTAACGTGGTAAGTGTTTTAAGTGGACTCGGGTACTGAGGTAACAGCTCCTGAAATAACAACTGTTTGCTTCTATTTTCCTTTTATTCTCAGATAATTTCCATGTTCTTTTGTCATGAGTTTGGTGCCTTAGCGTTGTAACTACACATCGAGAGCAGTTTCAGTGAGGAGAAAAATAAGTGCCAGTAGTAGTGTTTTTTGTTTTCCTCTTCTCTGATTCATGCTCTCTGCATATAAAGCTTGGCAACTTCCATTCTGTCCATTCGATCAACAGATCATTATGTATTTTTCAGATGTCTGATGTGGACTCCATGAAAGAAAACAAGGCTATCAAGTCAATGCGACCACCTCAAGGGACCTCAAAGAGGGCCAAAGCTCCATCCAAGACTCCTTCTAAGACACCAACGAAAGGATCAGTGTCAAACAGTTCAAGAACGAAGTTGCCTTTACGCTCAAATAATCCTTAAGCCCATTACGTAGTGGTGAAAAATATGAAAATGTTACTTTTTGGAGTTATTGTCAAAATATTCTTTTCATAATTTTAGATTGTAATGCAGCTATCAACTACATTTGAGACCAACCAGATAAGCCTTATAATGTTATGAGATATCTACTTTTATGGGCAGCACTGTTTGTTTTTGTTTTTCAAGAATATTTTGTTTTGAAAAGTTCTGCATTTATACTGTAATGAAGATCACTTTGAGACCACCTTTGCTGTTACAATATCACATCTTCATTATAACATAAGCTATTTTCTTCATGATTGTAGATACAAGTTCAGAATCGAATCTCGAAGGGTCTGTTATAGTTATAGAATTTTTATTGTAAAGCATGATTTTAATGAGTAGAAGTGTAGTCGATATTGTGCCCACGTGGCTGCCAGTTTGCCAGCTGACAACTAGATATCCATTTCAAGGAGTGTGACCACTATTATAAGCCTACCTACGGCGAAGAAAATAAGGCGTTATTAATATTATGCTGTCTGCCTTTTCATTCATTCAGTTCACTTGTGCCTCTACCTTCCTCTTAAACACATAAATACACACACACAAACACACCCTCACTCACACACTTTGTATGTTGTTACTTTATTATGCACCATTTTTGGTACCCTAAGTTTACTTGTCATCTCTACCAGTTGTGACACCTCACCACCTCACTGGATTCTTTTTCCTCCACAACAGTACCATCCCCTGTTAATGTATGATAAGCATCAAGTACACAACCCTTTTCTATATATACTTGTTTTCAGTTGAACCATGATTGGAAAGTGTGCTTGTGTACCTCTCTGCTTCTTACTTTCTGCCAGGTGTATTATCTATGTGATAGAATTTCTTCTTTTCTTTTGTCTGTCTGTCATCTGGTCTTATTGTCTGTCAAACTTTTGTCTAATGTCTCTATCTGTCGTCTTGCTTCTCCTCACATCAAGAACTAAGTGACCATTGTTGTGTGGATGCACTTCTTTTCTGCTCAAACTTGTACGTGTACATAAATTATATTGTTACTATTTGTCAGCTTGTAAAATACTGCTCTTGTTGATCCACTGTACATAGTGGGGGTTTTTTTCTTTCTTCTAATCAGTGGGTGGTTGGCAGGTGCTCTGGTGTGGTTTGCTCCTTCTTTCCTATCAAACATCTATCGTCCTGATCTCTCCTCCTTCTTTTTAAGTGTTTGTTACTCTCTTGTAACACCTCTAATCTTCGGCACTTATATGACCTTATTGTGTTGCAAGTGCCGTAAAACTCTTACTAAAACATTCTTCTAATCAGTCTGTAGCCTACTATTTTTTTTATTATATGGTATTCTTAAATTTATAATGGAGCACGCACAAATAGCGAAATTGGCGGGACATGGGAATTTTTTTGCTGTGCATGTGTTTTAGCTACAAAGAAAATGCCTGTTTTTTAAAAAATTGGGGATCTGAACATCTGTTTGCTATGATGTGCGTGCTCGCTATGTATGTGACACTGTAGTCACTTCAACCTAAGATGAAGCTGCTGTGTTTACTCAGATCTCATCAACGGATAGAGGTAAAATTAGAAGTGTGTGTTTTTTCCCCCTCTTCCTTCTTGACTTTAGTCTTCTCCCCTTCCTATTTTCTTTTCTTCATGTTTTATTTATGGCTTAGTTAGATTTTCATTGCAAAATTTTTACCTGTAATAGATCAAATATATTGTTCCTTATGTTGTCCATCGTCATGCGCTTAACCAGTGCCAGAAAGAGACATGAAGATGGCTCTATTTGAATGTGAATTATCACTGTATCTGAAAGTTAATAAAATGCAACCATCTGTACATAATTTTCTCTGGAGATGCAATGGAAATGAGTGTGCTCACAGTTACAGTGGGTGGTTGGCGGGGGCTCTGGTGTGGTTTGCTTCTTCTTTCCTATCAAACATCTATCGTCCTTATCTCCCCTACTTCTTTTTTATGTTTGTTACTCTCTTGTAACACCTCTATTCTTCTGGCGCTCATATGATGACCTTATGCAGTTGCGAGCGCCGTAAAACTTCTACTAAAACAAAACATCACAGTTACACGGACACAAACAGACATACTCACATGTGTACAGATACACTGTCACCAGACACTTATATTACGTGTATACAGTCCAGTACCATTTACACAGAAATAACAATTTTCATGAACACATGTGCACATCTGAAATATATCCACTGGCCCATGAGTTACCCATCAACGTTCATGTTGTTCACCCACAGCAGAAACTGTACCTGTGAGTACAGTGGAGTCCACTTATAACGAGTCCTGAAACAACGAGAAGTCTGTTATAAAGACACTATTCTAAAACCCCGTTTTTTTTCCTTCTTTATCTTTGTAAATAAAATACTGCTATTGCGCAATCAGACAGTCACGCGAGTCGGTTATTGCGGAATATTGCTGCTGCTGTGCACAGCACACAGACCAATTAAACATATTAAAACCTCGCCAGTTGAGAAAGTTGTTGGTGATCCAGCGAAACAAAGAACGGGAGAACCCACGCGAACCAACAATGAAGGCCGGAGCGAATTAGTGGGGAGGGTGTGGCATGCGCAGACAAGCAGAACGCATCGCGTGATAGGCCAGCCCAGTCTAGATTATCAAGGCATACCGTGCCTCTCACTTCTCTGGTGCGGGATGGAGAGGTCACAATGCTGTGATAGATGGAGTGAATGTGTGACGTGCGCAAGCTGACGCAACGCACCACAGGGTGTTGTGGGGTGGGGAACAACACAGCGGGCAAGTTAGCCTAAAGCAAGAGCCCCTTCTTTCTGATCGCCAAAGCCGATTTGTCAACATTGCTAGTGCTAGAGAAAGAAACATGATTCGATTTTTGATCAAGTAAGACCTAGAGATCATGTTGAACAAAATCATCATCTGGGGAATTACGAAAAGGAATAAACAGAACACCAAACTCATAGATTAGGCCTACTTTACTATTTCCCTAGAATTTATTACTGCATCCCTAATAACGAGAATCCTGCTATAACGGACATTTCGCACCGGTCCCCTCCCTCTCGTTATAACAGGATTCCACTGTACAATAATTGTTATCTGTAATAAAGCATGATTGGTCGTTAATTAAAATTAAACATGAGTAGATAATATAATGTTTTTTTCTCTATCTCTTTAATAACCTCCTATAAAATTTTGTTGGGGATGAGCTTTTCTATTTCTTCTACTTTTCAGGATGACTTACATAGAGGCCTCTGTACATAATATAAAGAGATGGAAGAGAGTCCGAAGTCATCGATTTTAAAATGTTTAGTGACGATGATTAGGGGTGAAAATGAAGAATACCCACTGATTTACAGTACCTATGTGTTGCAGTTTCTAATGCTCCCTTCGTTCTTTAAGATAATGAAATGAAAAATGTGTCACAATCATGTCAGGGGACTCTATTATATATTATTATACACACACACACACACATAATGGGTTGCTCTATATATTGAAGTGTAATGGGTGTGATCCACCCATGTTGTCAGGAATCCGATAAAATCATTTCTTCCTATATGTGGACTATATGGGTGTGATCCACCCATGTTGTCAGGAATATGATGGGAAATATGTTGGAATGTTCGCCTTTTTTCCAATAGGTCCCAGGTTCAAATCCGGATAGAGACGTCAAATTTTCTTCTCTAACATTTTCCCCTTTCACATTCTTTCCTGCTTTCTAACAATGTTCTGTCGTCTGCTTTCGTCTCCACTTTCTGCCCCCACCCCCTCACCTCCTTTGTCCTCCTCCTCTGGGCTCCTGACTCTTCTGCAGCCTTTCTACTGCTACTTCTTGGCTCCTTCTAACTGCTGTCTTTCAGCCACACTCCTGAACTTATGGTAGGTAAGATCCACACCTAGCCTTCTCGGACAAGGGCGGAAAATCTTGGAGGTTTCGTGTGCAAGTTGCGCTCGTTAAACTAGATAATGATTCATTGGTTGTCTAAAATCGATAATAAGAGTAGGCTTCAGCAGCCAATCTGGTAAATTACAAAATTTCCTGCCAACTGAAAATGTTAATGTGTCCCGCACGCTCATATGACCTTATGCAGTTGCGAGCGCCATTTAAAAAAAATGGTGAAATGGTTTAGGTTTAACGCCCCCTATCAACACTGTTATTAGGTTATTTAAGAGGTGGGGCCTCTGAGTTCAACGTCCATCTCGGAAAAGACCGAGCCAAGTGGGAAATTCGTGTAAAATGCCTTTCCCAAGGACAGCTCGAACCTCCGAAGGCTCAGCTCGAACCTCCGAACGCACAATCTCACGATTACGAGTCCGGTAGCCTAACCATTAGGCTACCGATGTCACAGTGCCGTAAAAAACTTACCAAAAAAAACAAAGAAAAAAAAACAATGAATTTTCTATATATTCAACTGGCCCCCTGGTTATGCGGGGTTTTTTTTTACCACTTTAAAAAAAGTCTTTCCGGCGTCGTACTTCACTAACCTGTCGTGTATTGAATGGAAGGTAATTATTCCCTCGCTTTTTTTATCATGCACACCTCAAACTAATTACGAAAAGTTGCCACAATATTTGATACATAATTATGATTATGATCATAAACCCCTGTATTCTGGTTTCCATTTTGGAGAGTTTGCATAGAAGTGTAAAAACAGGGCATTTTATTTTCTATATATATATACTATATTAGATTAAATTGTTAATGTGTTCAATTTAAGCGGCGTCCACTGCTGTTGTTGGGTTTGGGTTTTTTTCACATTTCAAGATTTTTAAAAAAAATCATCATTGCCTTTAGTTTTCACTACCGCCATCGCCTCCCATGTGTGACTCATGACGGGCGGAGGGTCACACATAGATAGCAAATGCAACCTTGACTTCTGAATAATTTAGGCTACATAGTCAAAGATCAAGACTTTATTGGCAATGAAAAAAACATTGGTTGAGTTATGTGCACTCGCTGGGATCGTCTCCTCTCTTCTTTATTGCCTACATCAGCGTGTAAATGTTTGGTTTTTTAAAGAGAGAAATAGCCTGTCGCAATCATGATAGTATTGATAGCGACGCACAGACTGCTCACTGGCACTGGCATGCACATCACAATATATCATAATTATCTGTGGTTCTCTTTCCCCCCTAACTCTTGCACGCGTATGTGTACACTAAAGAAAAGAAGAGCTCTTTCTTACGAAAAACACCTCTCTGTAAAATAATAACAGAATGTGTTAACAACTTTGGTAGGCTACATGTGTACTTTTATTTTAGTAAGAAGCCCAGAGTGCGCGTGTCGTAAACAGGCCAGGCAAGGGGTCAGTTCAAACGTAACTGGGGATGAAACAACGTATTATCAAAATCTAGTAGGCCTACCATGTAGGCGTGTTCTTTCTGTTTTCCCAGAGATGACTGACTGCAGCGGTAATAATAAATATATAATGTATCTGCCTTGGAAGTCATGCCAGTCTCAAGACTAAAATTTAATTTACTGCACATTTACGGG